TTTACTGATCTCTGTTTGTTTGTTTTCTCACAGTGTTAAATATAAAAATTCTTGTACTGCAAGGCCAGTTGATTTGACACTTATTTTCTCTGTGTTAGTTTTGTGTATATAGTGTATTATTTGGTATAGACTGCACTATTTTCACTCTATTGTGCTGCTTAAACAGAACAATTTCCCTTGTAGGATCAAGAAAGTATCAATCTATCTATCTATCTTCAGCAGAAGCATTGGAAAACTTTTAGAAATATTATGTCATCTGGCAGTACCTGATTTAAATACATTTAGACTTGGTAACTTAAGTTAACAAGACAGATCAACCCAACAGATTTAAGTTACACATAACACACAATAGGAAAAACTAACTTGCACAGTAACTGTATCGGCTTTTGTGTGTGTGCTTAGTTTTGTAATAAATAAATGAACCCACATTCATGTTTAAAGAAACCTAATCAGACATGGCTTATTCCATGGTGCATACTATAGCTGCATGTGATACCGTCACGTTACCTCTAGCGTTGGTAGCGGACTAATACGGGAGCAAGCACCAACAGTAGTTGGTACATGAGATGGGAAAGCTTTAATTCTGCCCCTGTTAGACTCTGTTACTGCTGCTTGCAAGGACACATGTGGTCATTGACCCGTCCTGCCCCAGTCCTAGAATTTGCCATTAAACTGAGAAACAATTACCAAACATAATTTTATTTCCAGATAACAAATTATCAAAACACTATACAAACATGCAAAAATAAATAATAAATTGCAAACCAATTATATACATTTTTTTCTTTCTTTTTTTTTTAAGAGAATAACTTTGGGGGGTTGGGGGGTGGTCTAAAGGGCGCTGCCCCACCTGCCCATATGAACCAACCAAACCTGGTCTAGAGAAGTCTCATCCACCATGTTTGGCGCTGAGCTCCTTTATGGTACTCAGTAATAATAATCGCATTCTATTGCAACTAAGCATAACTGAAGTGTGTTTCAGGTTTTTAACCACAGTTTTCTGCATGGAGATTGGTAAGCTTTTTCGTTTTTTTTTTTAATGCTCTCTATAGGGCTTCGGAGTTGACGTCACGCCGCAATGCATTGTGGGAGCGCAGCTCCATTTTCGGGGTCTACGATCCAAACAAATACACTGTATTGGAACGGCGACTACGACAAGAAACACGCTTAAAAGCAGCTCGAAAGAAAACGGACGGTATAGAGATCGATTGCGTCCAGAGGCGAAGC